CCCCCCCCCCCCAACTGATGAGAAAATGTTGAACGTTTAAATTAACCTTGTTGCACTAAAATCAAGCTGAACAGCAGCAGCAGTTTCATCATTTGCCTTGAGATTCACTTTAAAAGTGCAGTCTCATATTGATTCTTTTATTTTTTTTTGTTTGGGAGGTTCTTTGTAGGACATCAGATCAGGAACCAAATTGCTATTCATGCCGTAGGCTAAAAGGGACGGTAGACTTAAAGTGAGAGGAGTTAAAACAGCTCTTTTCAGGCACAGGGTGAACTGAGGAACTCTGAGTCATGCAGCCGTGTAACAGCCCGCGGTTGCTTTACTCTGTTGCCCTTGAATAATTTAACAGTATTTTTATGCTAACTAATACGTGCAGGCCCATGCTCCTGACTGGTGCTTGCATATGCCCATCATCCTGCCTTCCTCACCTGTCTGCTCCTTATGAATTATACCTGCTGCCAGTTTCATTGGTCTGGTGCCTGGTAACGTGCTGTTAATCAGGGCAGCTGTGATTTAAAATAAAAAGTCTGACCCATGCCTTTGTTGTTTACCGTTTTATTCCACTGCACTGCACCGCCTCCACCACCTCCCTACAAAACCCAAATAAAGTACTTAACTCTAACCCTTTTCATTCTGTTATTTAAAGTCACTCCTCCTCCCCTCCTCCCAGTGAGCTGAGGTCGTAACAAGAGGACTCCAAGAACAAAAACATGAATTTGAGGAAATGAGCACAACGGATCCCCATTATGTAAAAGCAGTGTAAAAATGAACCAGTTTGCATTTGAAAAGCAATTAAGTAAGACACAGATTAGTGAAAGTATTTAAAAGTTCTGTAGCTTCCACCACTGAATTCCACTTTAGGAATTAGAGACTCTTTGTGCTATACTTCTGTTATCTTGCAGGAAAGCTTTTAAGTTGTTTTGAACACTGTTAGCTTTTGTGGCTGTTGCAGACATCAACTAACAAGTATTACAAATACTGCCTCTGTTTCCTGCTGCACAGACTGATAGTGCAGTTCAAGTGAGCTGTTACTATAATGTAAAATATTAGAGTGCCATTAAGACATCGCCTCGTACTTCCCACTGCCATCAATTTTAGTCCAGCAGCACTTCCACTGCATCTTGTAGAGAACTTAAAGAGCAGATGCTACCTGATACCATCTTCTTGAAGGCTAATCTATTCACTTAGTGAATCACTTTGCAGCTTCCAAACCAGTATACACCAGTAATATTTTAATTGTTTTGTATTTTCAAGCACATACTCTTCTCAGTTTAGGTCCAGTTAATGCAGTGTAAAACAACTGGCATGATCTATGAGATAGATCATTTATCACGAGGGAATACATAGCTCAGAATAGTTTTAATTTTCATTACTTGAGGTGTTTTGTGTAGTTTATATCAGTGAGAGTACTGTTTGCATATCCACATAACCAATATGACGCTTTTTCATCATCCACTGTGAAATGTTGGTTTCTCTAAAGTGCTTGGCCTTCTTCCAGTCCTTGTGTATTGACACTAATGCTTTAGGACCTCTATAGATCTTTTTTGACAGGAGCTTTTATGGTTGGAACTTTCTGTTCTTTATTTTATAAAATTACATCTGTGATGAAGTTTCTTTTCTCTCTTTCTCTGGGAACAAAGCTTAATATAGTGATGTTGTGATGGTGTCCTAACATTTGATTTGTTTTTCAGCTCTATGCAGTGTCCCCTTAGAAACATTCAGTGTAGCCATGATTTAAAGTCGAGAAAGCCCCTCTTTGGTTAGAATAACATTACGACTTTTATCACTTTGACTTATTTCTGGTGCCACCTTTCCCACTCTCCCACTGCTACTTAGCAAGAATTGCTGTATTGGAAACTTGAAGCACAGCCATATTTGGGTGAACAAAGGCTGCAAGTTTATTTACCTGATGATTTGATCTAATCCACGTCCACATTTCATCTGAAAGCTGTTTCCATGGAAGCATACAGCTCAGACAACCTTACCCTTGTACAAAGGAGTTTGGTTGCTAAATAAAAAATATTGCAAATTTGGAATTTATTTAAATCTGGGGAAAAAAGTTACTACATTTTTAATGAGGTCATTTAGCATATTTAGTTCTACACAAACTTTTTGTATTTTGAAATTTGAATTGGCAGAATTTATTCAAAATGCAATGAAGGAATAAAAAAATGGAAATATATTTGCACATCTTTCTTTTGATAATTTGGTTATGTATTCCTGATTAAATGTAATCCATTTGAAGACAACTCAGTCTATGGGTTTATTATGAAAGAAATAGTTGGAAATAAATCCATGAAAATCAGTGGGGTTGAGATTTAAGAGTGATGTAACACAAAGTTTACTGTAACTGTAAAAATCATATAAAGCAATAAAAATCTGATCTGAAGGCAACGTGCTGTTGAAAGTGCTTTCTTGGCAGGTTTCTCAGAAAGGCGGTCAGATATTTAATGTCTTCAAATATCCCTACGGACATATGATTGAAAATTCAATAGGGATAAGCCAGAGAAAAGCTCTGGCAAGGCATCCCATATTCCTCTGTGTTTTCCTACCTTGATTTAATATAAAATATAGAAAATAATGTTGTTTTTCCAAATAATAACAGCAGTAAATAAACACTCATTTACTAAAATTTACAGAATTAAAGTATTACAGCCCTCATTTCTTTATATTTTCCTAGGAAAATGTAAAATAGGTGCACAGGTTTAGTTGAACATCTGCAAACATACAAAGAAATACAGAATGTAAGGCAAAAAACTGCATTTGTACAAATTTAATGAGCTTAAAAGTCTATATATGGTATGACCACGTTTATTCTTCATCATAGCCTGACCTCTTAGACAAGCTTTCCGGTAATTTCCTCAGGAATAGTTCTCCAGGCATCTTGCAGGACATTCAGAGCTCTTGTTTAGATGTTAGCTACATTTTGTTCCACTTTCTGTCCAGATGATCATAGACTGCTTCAATAATGTGAGGTCCTGGATCCAGGGTGGCCAACCCATGCCTGATTGTCTTCAGTTGTATGGTTTTCTATCTATGTATGCTTTTAGTGCATTGGCAGTGTGTTTGGGACCATTTTCATAAGGAACAAATTAAACTACTGCCAATCAGATGCTTTCCAGATAGTACTGCATGGTCGATGCTCAAAATGCCGACAATTTTGACAAGATCCAGAAGACCACTGGCTGACATGTAGCCCCAAATTGCATGTATTGTCCAATTCACCCAGAAATGTTCGATAACCTTGTTTCCAAATACAACCCTGCATGTCTTGTTACACATTGCCACGGTGTCAGTCTTGGCACAGACTCATAAACAATCCACCCAGGACTGTTTAGTTGGATGTGGTGGCTGTTTTGTTAAACGTGACATTAACAGCATCAGCTGGCTTATAGATGCCGACTCATTTAATAATGAACTAATGGACAGAGTAAAAAAAGTGACCGCAAAGACTACTTAGGTGAAATCATTATTTGTTACCCCACACGTGACACAAACGTCACCTCACAGGCCTGTGTGGTAGTACAGTGCTGCCTTCACGTCCGTTACGTAAACAAATAATTGAAGACGAAACGTGAACTTAGGAGTTTTAACGGTCCTCATGCTGTTAAGTGTTAAGTGACTTTCGTTGGATTTCTAAAAATTAAATAAAGTGTGTATTGCTTTTCCTCATGAGTCGAGCCATTTACTCATATCACTAAGTGTCGCTAAGAGTTAAAACTCGCAAATTTCCGGTAGCTTTAAACGCAGCAGCAGTGACGTCTCCTCCTCCTCCTGACCGCTGGACCTGTTTGTGAGTGTTAAGTAAGTTCTGATTGCAGAGCCAGTGCCTTAACGTCTACGACTGCATGGTATGTGATGTGTGAAGAAGGACTGATAGCATTGGTTGTCAGCAGAGGGTTATATAGCAAGGCGAAGCTAACGGAGCAGCTAATCCCTAAATCAGCATTTTTGCTACCGTTAGCCTCAGCTAGCTGGTGCTGTGTATTCATCTGCAGCCCACGATAGCACATGACTCAGATGTTTCACTGAGAACCTCCACGTTTATGTCAGCCAGCAGAGCTGCATAAACCGACTGAGGGAAAATCAGCAGGTGAAACCGGGTCATGGCTTTTCAGTGTCTCCCTACCGGATAATATCTCCCCGGTATTGCCCAGCAGTACCCGTGATGGGACAGTGGGCTGAAGTGAAGAACATCTGCGCCACCTACTGTTGCAGCTGTAGGCAGTTAGTTTTTTTTTTATTGCTATGTATTGACCATAGTGCAAAAAAATATCAAAGCCCTAAGTTGAAAGTTTGAAAATGAACTTTAAGAAGAATGTAAAGATCCGAGATAACCACGCAGATGTCTTGCTAAACTTAATGTGTAGGAAACAAATGCAAAAGAGCAAGTGTTTTTAAAATTGTCCTTTTATTAATTTTGTCATGAATGTATTGAATTGATTTGTTAAAGAATAATTCTCCTGTTACAAATTTAAAAAGTATTACATTGAGTGCATTAATAGTTGTTACCACATTTGAAGATTGCCCGATCCAGTTACAGATAATTAATCTTATAATCAAATCTGTGTCTTGCCACATTTTTGGCTGCACTTCTTTGCATTGAAATCCTGAGGTTATTTTTTTCTTTTTAAAGTGATCTGATGAAAGTAAATTCACCAAAAGGCACAAAGCAAAAACAGCGTTTAACAGTTAATTTGCCAGACTACATTCTTCAGTTTGGGGTGTAGGTCATAACTGATGTCTTGTTTAAAAAAGAAAAAAGCAGGACTGTGTCCTTTACTAGAACGATAAAACCACAGTTCATCCATGTGGAGGCATCTAACTCAGCACAAAGTCATAGTCACAGCAGCAAAGGTATTGCACAAAGCTACAGGTTATACTGGGAAAGCAGAAGTAAACTATCTCACTTTCTTTTAATTGCCTTTCTTTTTGTGCAGCATGAGCATTGCACGACAGGTCCTGAACTGCTCCAGGTTTACATGTCGATCAGCTCACGTAACCTGCAGAAAGACATTTACTACTTCACAGGTAACAGCACTTTAAAAAGATTTGAACTGAGCCACAGAGGGTATGTGATATGTGGTTTTTAATCGGCAGGATGCACTGATTGAACTGATTTGTTAGCGATGTTTGTAGATGTATAACTGGAGAAGCTACACAGCCACCGAGCAAAGTCCTGAAACGTTGACGTTTTCTCAAGATTCAACTAGTTAACGATTATTTTACCACCACCCCAATTTCTTCTATGTTGGGTGACTGGAAATGATTAAGTAGTGGAAGCTGTCATACTGTTTTGTATTTTGTTGCAGCACGTAATGATGTCACGGCACACACATGCCAAAAGAATTGAAGGACTGGACAAGAACGTCTGGTGAGTAAAGCATTCGTATGTCTTTGTAAGAGACGGCAGGAGTTCTGTTAACAGACCACTTTTGTACCACTTTCAAATATGAAAATATGCCCTTTGTTTGCCCGTTGGTCAGAAATATGTACTAATTTCTGTTGTTTCTAGTGAAGCTTTATTCCTGTGTTACTTTAGGGTGGCTTTCACGGCACTGGCAGCCGACCCATCTGTTGTTAACCTGGGCCAGGGCTTTCCAGACATTCCTCCACCTTCTTATGTCAAGGAGGCGCTAGCGAAGGCCGCATCAGTTGACAGGATGAACCAGTACACCAGAGGCTTTGTATGTCTTTGTGGACCACAATCTGCAGAGTTTCGTGTGTTAAAACTCCCATACCATCTTAATGAATACTGCATTATTATGGTTTTTCTGTTCTTTCACTTATGCTCTGTGTTTATTGAAAAGGGGCATCCATCATTGGTGAAGGCCCTCTCTCAGGTGTATGGGAAGGCCTATGGACGTCAGATTGATCCCTTAAAAGAAATTCTGGTCACGGTTGGTGGTTATGGTTCCTTATTTAGCGCCATCCAAGCTCTAGTGGAAGAAGGAGATGAGGTGAGGACTTCGCTCCCTTGCTTCATATTCACAAACGTTCATATTTACATCCATAAATGTTCTCCCAGCGCATTCACTGTGTAATTTCCCTTCTTCCAGGTCATCATTATTGAACCTTTCTTTGATTGTTATGTACCTATGGTTCGTATGGCCGGGGGCAAGCCTGTGTTGATACCGCTAAGAGTTGTAAGTATGGCCATGTGTTTCGTTTGCATCCCCAAATACAACTTAAAACAACCTGCAAAAAAGAATATAACCTATTCTGTACAACATATAATTAAACTATTAACATGAGAAAAGAGAAAATTCACTGTTAGAAAGATGTGCTGTGCTGTAAAGAGTTCATCTGAATTCAGTGCATGGAGCACTGTCTACCTGCTGCTCCGGCCTGAGGATGTTAGCAGATGTCAGTACCTTTAACACAAATCAACATTTCAGAAGTCTGGAAAGAAGACGATCACAAGCGCTGACTGGTTTCTGGACCCAGATGAGCTCGCAGGTAAATTCAACTCTAAGACAAAGGCCATCATCATCAACACTCCCAACAATCCCATTGGAAAGGTAAGCACACAGCTAAGTTATCTGTCACTGTGTTTGAAAAAGCCACTGAGACGATGACCGTTGCTCTGACCAGTTCGTTCCTGTCTTCTTCCTGCAGGTTTTCACCAAAGACGAGCTGCAGATGATCGCAGACCTCTGCATTAAACATGACACTCTGTGCTTCAGTGATGAGGTTTATGAGTGGCTCGTCTACAGGGGACACCAGCATGTCAAAATTGGTATGTGTATTGGTCAACAGGCATTTCTCCAACTACAAACATGAAATGTAGTTAGGAGCGACGGCCATGTCCAGCTCGGAGAATGTAATCAAGATTGTGCATCAAAATGACGTTTTTCACAAACTGGCGCCTGCTCCTATGTGTTTTTAAATTATTAATTCTACCTTTATGACTGTGAACCAAATTGTTGAAGCACATAATTACTTTTTACTTTGTATTTGACATTTCAACATTGTTTTGTCTCTGCAGCAACTCTGCCTGGAATGTGGGATAGAACTGTTACTATTGGCAGTGCAGGAAAGACGTTTAGTGTGACTGGATGGAAGGTAAGTCGTGTTAAGCCATGTTATTATTTAACGATGACTTATTTAATCACTAATCTGACCTTGTTGTGACATTTGTATCTTCTAGCTTGGTTGGTCTATTGGACCTGAGCACTTGATGAAGCATCTTCAGACAGTCATGCAGAATTCCCTGTACACCTGTCCCACACCTCTGCAGGCGAGTCCACCAAACATCCCAGTTATGCTGGCTCTTGATTGTACTTCAGTTCTAAAGTTGTTTTTCTTGTCAGGAGGCAGTGGCACAAGGTTTACTCCTAAACTATGAGCTGATGGATCAGCCTGAGTGTTATTTCACTTCACTGGCAGATGAACTTGAAGGAAAGAGGGACCGCCTGGCTGCCATTGTGGAGGAGGCTGGCATGACTCCCGTAATCCCAGAGGGAGGCTACTTCATGCTCGTGGATGTCACAGCTCTTAGTGAGTTACTGCAATTTTAAACTGACATCGCAAAACACTTAGTTATATGTGACTTGTGTTTCTTACAGTTTGGTGTTGTGTTCTAACTTCAGCTGGGTCTAGTTAACAATTTTCTGTTTTCATATTTATACTGTGTGCTTTGGGGTGGCTGTAGCTCAGGAGGTAGAGCAGTTCTTCTGCTAACTGGAAGGATGGTGCTTCAATTCCTGGCTGCGCCAGTCTGTATGCCAAACATGTGAATTTTAGATATAAAGAACCTCTATAGGAAACAGTGTCTGTATGAATAGGTGTGGATGGGTAAATGAGGCTAGTTGTATAAAGTACTTTGAGTATCCAGGCAGAGCAGAAAAGTGCCTTATAAGAACCAGTCCATTTACCATTTCCTTTAACTCAAAAAAGAAAGTAATCTCAACTGACGGTTGCTATTGATTCAAATTCAAATTTTATTTGTCACGTACACAGTCATACACAGTACGATATGTAGTGAAATCCTTGGACAACTGCTCGTGACCTAAAGAAAACAAAAAAGGAAAGGCTATGAATAAGATAGGAAATAAATATGAAAAATTAAAAAGGGTAAATTTAACTAGGAAGGAATAAAATATAAATTAAGGTTAAAAATGAAATAACTGTACAACACAAATTAGAATGAAGGGTAAATTTAACTGGGAGAATAAGATAAAATATATAAATTAAAGTTGAAAATAAAATAACTGTACAACAAAATACACAATATAGAACTATATAAGAATGTATGAAGAAATCTAAATATAAATAAATATATACACAATAACAGCAGCTGTACAAGTATTAACCAGAAATGAAGAATATAGTGACCAGTGTTGTGCAAAATGATGTAACAAAGACAGTTACATCATTAACCCTAAAAAATATCTTCCCCCAAAGGAGTTTTTAATATGCAGTGAGCTCAGTGAGTGACTCAAACGAAACTTCACACAACGAATGTCATGTACACCGTTTGTTTTTTGGTGTCCCCAAGTGACCAGAAAATCTATTAATGCAAGTTTGATAAAGTATGCATATGCAGGGTTCGACGGGTGCTTGAAACCCTGGAAAATGCTTGAATTTTAATGTTGTCTTTTCAAGGTTTGAAAAGTGCTTGAATTTCAGATGTGGTGCTTAAAAGTACTTGAAACTGTATTTCATTTACCACAAAAAACTATCTGACCGAATAGTTTTCTTATCAGATAGAGAAATAAAATAAGTCGCAAAGTCTAAAAGCAAAATTTCTCCGCCTGGGCCGCCTAGCACCTCTCCATGTCAGTCTGTTTCAATGTGTTGGGTATCTTTCTTTGCCTTTAGACAACAATTCTGATGGCAAAAGAGCCAAACGGGACAGGCGAAAAAGAAAAAAAAAAAAAAAAAAAAAAATGTGTGACCGCGCCCCTCCCCCGGACAGTCGGGGATGAGTGCGCTAACGTGCCTGGAGATTGCTGTTTAAATGAGTGTTTGATGGAAACGACAATGGCGGAGTTTGCGCTCTCGAGTCACATGATAGGTGAGTCCTAGTAAATAATTTTTGAGAATGTGTACATAACACATGCAAATTTTCAAAACTATTACTATTATTTTGCTAGCTATCAAACTTGCTGGAGAAATGATTGAAATGCACTGAGTGTGATGCAGTACGTCAGCGCTGTTATGGCAGTTAGTTATGGCATGGTGATTTATGGAATATGCTGTGAATTTAGCTAACATTACTTAGTAGTAACAGTAATGTGAGTTCACTCAAGTAAAAGGTTTAAACATTAGTCCGATACTTAATTAACCAACTTAAGGCTTAAGGAAATAATGTAATAAGAGGGACTGATCCATATGGGCACAAAGAATAGCCACTTTTTTTGTGCTACCAACTTTCCCTGGTGGTGCATTTTTCTATGTTTTAACAAACGGGAACAAAGGACATTTTTAAATAACAATTTTAGTTTTAATTTTTACATGGCCTTACTGAGGTGATGCTAAGTTAAACATGCATTCTTTTTTTGGTAATGTGCTGGAAAAGCTTGAAAATGGACATTGAAAGTGCTTAAAAATTGCTTGAATTTGACCCTGTAAAATGCGTATGAACCCTGCATATGTAGACCATCATGTGGATAACTTATGAATACTAGATCGAACAGATTCCCATGCCTGTGTGACAAAACCAGCCCAAACGCCATCCCATGAATTAGCCGGTAGGCATAGTTGGTAAGGCCAGACAGGTACAGTGGTTGGAGAGTATTACAACATGTTTTGTGTGTACTTGATCACCTGCAATCAGTTAAGTGAGACTTGAGTATAAATATATTATTCATTAAATGTAATTTTCATAAGAAATAGGCTGGAAAAACCCCCAAGCTGCAGCAACACCTCAAAAATAACCCAGTAAGGATCTGCTGACCTAACGACTGGTCAGTGAGACTGTTCCTTACCCTTAAAATGAATATCCCCCCTCTCTGTGTTCATTATAGATCAGGACCTTTCACATATGGATGAGGATGAAGCCTATGACTACAAGTTTGTGAAGTGGATGATTAAAGAAAAGGTAAATATTTCTTCATTCTACTATATTGGAAGCAACATGTTTTTAAAATGTTGTTGTTTTTTTGTTTGTTTTTTTAAATGGAAATATATATTTTACACAGAAACTAGCAGCCATTCCAGTTACTGCATTTGTTGGAGAAGAGTCTACGAAAGACTTTGAGAAATATATTCGCCTTTGCTTCATTAAGGTAAACACACAAAGTGTCAATAAACACAGTACCTCTAAAATTATCCAGTGAAGATGAATCTTGGCTGAGGTGCAGTTTTTATTTTTCCTCCGTTTCTCTTAACAGCAAGATAGTACTCTCGACGCAGCGCGGAGCATCTTGAAGAGCTGGACGAAGGTTTAACGGGAGGTGCTTCGGAAGACTTCTACACTAACTGGAAATTAGTCAAATGTATTAGAAGAGTTGAATATAGAGTACATATTTTGAACTGTACAGTGTGTTAGGAGAAAGGAAACCCAAATATTGAATAGATGGAAAAAACCCTAGTCAGTCATTCTGTTTTTGGCTGTTATTTGTAGAGGGTTAAATCATGAAACAGAACAAGAAGAAAGAATCTGCTGTAACTGTGCCTTTTCTGTGTCCTCTCTTTCCACTAAAACTATGGGACTGGTTTGTTAAAACTTTATTGTGATCAAATGTTTTGTAAAATTTTAGTGCTAATCATTGGATTAACGGCAATCTGCTGGTACCAAACATCCATAAAGGTTTAAGACTCCTTTTAAAAAGTACAGTTATTAAATGTATTGACAAGGATGCTGAAGATGTAGCTCCCAGGCAGGAGGAAATGGGAACGATATCAAAGGAAGGAGATACATGAATATAGTGAATGAGGACATGCAGAGGGGTTGATTTATTAGAAGTAGATGTTAGGGATGGAGTGAGCTGAAGGCCGATGATGCACTGTGGCGATCCCTAAAGGGAGCAGCCCAAAGAAGCTTGAGAATTAATGTATTGACAAAATTTGGTGTTATTTTGTTTTCTGTTTCTCTGCTTAAATCATTTGATTTGTTCTCATTGGTGCAGTTTGATCTGCAGCGCAGGCATGCTCACTGTGAAAAAGAACACATTAAGACATTACTAAAAAATTATAATAATAATAATAAAATACAGTTAAAAGCTTTACGGAATACATAGAATCCAGTTAACTAAAGTACAGTAAAACCACTCGGAGGGAAAACCAGTTAAATCTTTTGAACCCGTACCAACGTCAGCTTTAATGATCCAGGAACAACACCAACACAGGGATACGTTCTTACCTTTTACTCCTAGTTTTGGATGTGAGATAACATTTGAGGACTGTTTTCAACTGTTGGATTAGAAATTCTTTTTGTAATGTATGGGAACAAGTGAATCTCTAAATAATCCTGGCCAAAAACATAAGGTCTCATACAGCATTGTGATACCACTTGCCTTTGGCATCACAACCATTCAGGTGAGTTCATAACTATCTAGGAGCCAGAAAGAAAAAAGAAGTCCAATTAGGACTCCCTCTTAGTGAAGCTTTTAGTGAAGTCTTATAAGATTTTTTTTGCAGTAATTTTCTCATTTCAGCGTAATGGACTGAGATTTATTTTTGTAAAAACTGACAGAAATGAGATTGCATGCCAAACTGCTATTCATGCCACGTGACTGTAATCGTGTTGCTAGCCGTGTAGCTGTGTTACGTGGCTGCTAAGCTACAACTTCAGCCTTCAAATGACAAAAGTTCAGTGTCAGCTTGAATACTTATAAAAATGTGACGTCCTGTGTCGTTTTAAAGCTGTTAATGCAGAGACCGTGTACGCAAACTTATATAAAATGCTTAAAAAATTTTCCGGGATCCCCATGAATGCAACATTTATTGCCATGCTCCTCAGCACCAAAACGAATTGCACTCAAATGCACTTGGGGAAAACACCTGCTCAGCCACCACCTTTATCCTACTCTATAATCCGCTTTCAACATTTTTACTCACCCCTCTTTTCTTTCTCTACTTATTTCTCAACAACCAGTCCTTTCTCATCTCTGCTTCCTGCTTTTATTACATCCTCTTAGCTAGCACCAACAACAATCCCATTCCCTCATATTCTAGTTCTTCTACATTTTTTTTTGTCTACCCTTACATCATATCTTTGGCTCTAGTAGTGTCACCTTCTGCTATGACATGGAACTACATCAACTTGACAACAAATACTTCCTGGTCATTGCAACCCCAACAGGTTCACTTTTTTCCTTTCATTTACAACTGCTTTTAATTCCATTTTTCATTCATTTTAGCAGTTGAAATTACAAGTTACAGTGCGCTGGACCTGGATGTGAACCAGCAGGCTGCTTCACAAAAAGGATACCCCTGTAAGCGGGCAATACAGTTTTATACCACAACAAAAACAAGTATTCTTATGACTCTCTTCTTCTGGGTAGCGACGTGGAAGTCCTGCCATTTCCCCCTGGGGATCTTCTGCTCCACTCCATCCACGTGTAAGCTTGTCTGAATCTGTTCCTTTCCTGGAAAAAAGACAGAAAGAAAAACACCCCCTAGCCTAACCTGGATTATTAATATTATCTAGCAATTCTTAGCCTGCTATTTTCTGCTTTTTATCTTAAAAAAAAAATAAAAAAATATCAGCCTGACTCTAACTCCACATATGATATGTATGTAGGTATGTATGTTTTCAGTGGTTTCATTTATACTGACACCTCTATTTTATGTATTTAAGTTTCACCAGTTGTTACTTTAGTACCCTTGCTGTGTATGATGCACTCTTGAGTATGTTTGGTGACTCATAATGTGTAACGGTAATCTTCTGCACATGTATTGGGCTTGAGCTTCCTTATGCAGGTAATCTGGAGATGCCATTATAGCACACGTTTTTGAACAGGCTGCCCATATACTGAAATGCTACAGGGTTTGAGTCCGTACCAGATCACTCCCCCCTGCTTTCTCCCTCCTGCCCTGTCTACTCTCTACTGTCCCTGTCCATAGCTATAAACGTACAGTTAAACAAAAAGGGGAAACGAATTCTTAGAATTACCATTCAGATATTTTAACTTCTCAAAGGTGTAGTAATCATGACTTTCATGAAACAATTCCACGAAAAGATATAAGCATGTGTAAAGATAATCATGTTAGTGATACAGCAAGAAATGTCACAGCTTAATTGTTTAAATAATAAAACAAGTGCTGTACATACATTGTTGATACAGCAAAAGTAGTTAAAAATGTGAAATATCTAAAGGCTGCTTGCAACATGGAAACTGTTACCAAAAAAATTTTTTTTTAATATAATTAATAGTTAAATGACATGAATTTGATCATAGTTTAATCTACATATTTATTTATAACATTACAAGAAAATGAAGCACTGCTGTGAACCACTTGGGGGAGACAAAGTACATCAGACTGAAAGAAAAATCCACTTTTAATGTGATATTTAGTGTTTTGGATTCCCCTGTAACATGAGTGATGCAAGGAAAAAAATGGCTCAGTTAAAGAAATAAACCTGTCTTTGTTTTTAAAAACGACTTCTGCTTTTACAGGATGGAAATAACAGAGAGTTCAAAATGATTCATGATCTTTGAAGAGTGTTGGTATTTTTACTTATGTACTCTGGGATTTCCTGCTATAGTGTGAGGTTTTTGAGTGGGAGATGTTGCGTGTAAGCATGATTGGTCTGCATATAGTCATACTAATGAGTCTTTTTTAAGGGTCTTACTTAACAGAATGTTATAAGACTGGTCATTTATTTAACTAAAAGTATTTTGTATTTGTTGTTGAGTAAATGAAACCCTACTTCAAAAGTGTTTTTAATCACAGTTCTGGGCTTTTTTCTTTGGTAGAATGTGAGCTGTTCTGTAGCGAACAGGCAAAACCTTGAATGTTATAATGTGAACCATCTTGTAAGAAGTCAAAATGCAAGTAAATTACTGAGTTTACCTAAATTATTGAATCTAACTGTCTAATAATCACACAACAATGAATTTCATCATTGTGGATACTAAACATTTGATGTACTCCAAATATTAGCTGCATAACCAATACACCCGGTGAGGAGGCTGCGGTATCTTTCCTTTAAATATTTGGAGTAGCATGATGGTACCTGGACAAATGATGGCATTCCACGCTTAAAACATGTCTCTGTGTGCTCTGCAAATTGTGCACCATAAATACTGAACTTAAAGCCATTTCCAGCTGTCGTAGCCAACAGGGCTGTGCCTGCATTTAATGTGGTGGAGGAATCATTATCTGATGAAATGCTTTTAATTGTAGCCTCAGAGTTAATAGTTAACGTTCCAAGCTACTTGGCATGAAATTGTGCTGTTGGTAGGGATGAAGGTGCTCTGTTCTGCTAGGCAAACAAGAGGGCCGTGATGAGCCTCCCCCCCTTCGACCTCTAGATTAACATCAACACACCGTGACTGTGTGAACCTTTCAGTGTATGTAGCTGATGATGTTATGGAAACTAGCAGCCACTTTTTTACATAATCACACACAAAAAAATTACACCTGCCTCTTGAACAAAAGATCCCTTTCCTGTGCTTATACCCTCCTGTCACTGAGGCCTGACTCCGTGTCCACAGCCTCATGGTCATAAAATGTCAGCAGTAATTTGATCCCTGGGTCTGTGCTGCTTTACCCATGAAGAAATCATGAGGTTGTCCCTAATAACCTGCTGTGATTTGACTACAGTGAATAAAAGCTAAAAGGATTTAATGTGTTTGAAACTTGGCAACAGATGGCACATGTTTATCAGTAATATTAATTACTTAGACCACATGACTTTTCAAGTGATTTCGGGACAGTTTTTGCTAAAGTAAAGCAGGCACTACCAGCATGTTGATCATTTACTGTACAATGTGTATGTGTTGATCTATTAAATTCAGTTCTGTGTTTAGTTTGCTATGTAGCTATGTAACAGTATTTTTTGTATGTTTGTGTTACCTAAGACAAACCTAAGGCGATCCTTTGGTTCCTCTGTCACAGAAACTAGTACAAATGTACATTAGCATCGTGACACCAGTGTGTGAGGTGTAGTAAGATCAGTGCAAATAAATTAGATGGGTAACATCAGTATTCACTGCTCCACCAAATTTCTATTCTTGAATGAATTTATTAGTTACATTTTAACCAGGAATATCATCAGGTCTATAATAAAAATAAATATGAAATGGCCAGAAATAACATGAATGCACAGGCTTCTATTAAGTCAGGTAGCACAAACTCATTACCTTAGCTGTATGTGCAACACTTAAGTGCATCAATATTCACCAAAGCAGGAGAAACATTGTACTGAAGTTATGTGAACATTGCCACTAATCTCAAAATAAATCTGGTTGTTAAAAATAGTAACCATACAACTCTACCAGATCTCTTATCATGGCAAAGTCTACAGCTTTGTGTAGACCGTCACCCCCTTCGTATACTATGAAGGTACGGAAAGAGGACTGTTAATGTAAATATGTTTTATTTTTTAAAAAGAGAGAGTTGAACGTGTTTTAAAATTCTTTCAAGACTTTACAATTTTAAATAGACAGGAATATCTAATCTTACAAGACACACCTTTTGAACTTTTATGTGATTCCTGTATGATAAGATGCACTTTAATGAATAAATCAAATGATGAGCCTTTTGCACATTTCTTATAAGCTTCTGTAGGATGAAGTCCTTCCAGATCAGTTCAAAAATCAGATTATTCTTTTGAAAGGACTTTTGATTAGCATTTAAAATAACCATGAAACGTTTATTTTTTTTTTTTTAAAGAAACTAAAGAAAGCCACTGGGATTTAAAATTGCTTACTATTATTCTCTCATATCTCCTTACCATATACTCTTTATTTGACACTGGCTACCCTCTCACCAAGAGCTCAATGTCTTTAGATGTGAGCAGTCTTTTGAAACACAGTATGGTAGGCACAAGTCACATGAGGTCATGTTGATTTTGTTCCATTTACTTCACCTTAAACTTCTGTT